TATTTCAGATTGTTTGCAGACTCTATATCTGTGGGACTTTTCATTCCAAAATTAACTGTGTGCTGAAGAGAGTCTGGAACAGCAGAGACTTTATGCTTCCAAGTTTTGAGATGGCCTCAGAGTGCAAAATCTCTTCTCTCTCATTTCTGGAATAGCTTTTGACAATTAGTAGAATCAACGACCACAGAGCAAGAAGTCTGCCCAATCCATCAGGGCCTAAATGTGAAAAGAGGGGGAAGAGAGAGAGAACCTTCTAATAACAGGAAGGGGAGAAGAGGTGTAGAATTTTTTTGGCTTTATTCAGGAGCATTTCCTCATGAACTCTGGAAGAGAGTCAGAAAATAAAGATAGCAGCCAGAACTCGCCTCCTGCATCTTTTTAAGGGAGAACTAGACAAATGCAGCAGTAGCAAATAAAGGAAACCATAAGTAACCTTCTCTGTGCAAGGCAGACACTACCCCAGTAGAGAGAGTTGGCACAAACCCAAGGTAGAGAGGCTGCTTGGTAAATTCTCAATAAATATTAAAAACACAAGTATGCTGATATCTGCATTTTTTCCAAAGTTGATGGAAAAATTAAAGCATGGGTCGATGCTCCTGAGAACAGAGGAGTCAGTAAGATTCCAGGTTTAGGGGAAAGAACAAAGGGATGGAGAATCTATTATCTTGAATCTCAATTAACGGCGACAAGAGTCCGGAGATGGGAGAAAAGCGCCTGCACTGGAGCCAGGACCTCAGCACCTTTTCCATCCTTCCAGAAAGGCTCACCCCGCTTTGGAGAGCTTAGGGACCTGCAATCCAGGCTAGGGGAATGATGCCAGCAAGACATAGGACACCTCTTTCTACAGGTCTCACCCTCTTCTCCCTCCTCATCACAGATATATGCATTGTTCCTATCGAGTCTACAAGGACAGAGGAGAAGCAAAGAAAAGAGACGACTTTGTTTTCCTCAGAAGACAGTCCTCATGATCTGTGGATATATATATATATATATATATAATTTTTCTATGTGTGTATATATATTCCTCTGCAGAGGAATAGTGGAGACCAAGTGCACAACCATCACCAGATGTCATTAGGATGTCAAAGAGCCTGAAGAATTTGCTCACCTTTAACATCATCTTAGAAGAAACACCAACAGGACAAGACCTGACTTGAGCTCTAAGCAAAAAAAGCTATACCTGTAAAATATCTGGATTGATAGGTCATTAAAAGCAGTGACTAAAATACCTTTTTATTTATTAATTTTTTTTTGCCAAAAAAAGAAATATTTAAAATACAGAATAACACAACTACTTCCAGGACAAAAGTAACCAAGCATGATGTAGCAAGTGTATTACATCAACCTCCATAATAAATCTAACCTGCTAATATTTTCAACACTGCATGTGTTCTTGCACACTTTCAAATTACTCCAACACTATTTTAAACAAATCCTTCCACTGAAGAAAATGTCAATATATCAAAACTATTTTTTAAACTAATGAGTTTCCTTTTTTATAAAGCAATTACTTTAAGTACTGAATAGGTTTCCATGGCACCCTCCACTTTCAGCTGACAAATATCAGCAATAGCTGGATTTAAAGCAAACAAAGTGAAACCCCCAAATCAGCAGTGTTTGACTCAAGGAAAAACATTAAATGTTTTCAAGCAGAAGCATTGAAAAACTTATTCTTACTGAAAGAAAAAAGTATGTACGCACACCTGCTTTTCTATCAATCTAAGCAGGAAACCATTTCACTGCTGCATCATAAGTAGAAGAAAAGCGCTTATTAAAACATTAATCACAGTCCATTATATTCTGACTCCATGCCAGAAGTTCCCATTACATCACTGAAAATATCTATTAACCAAAACCTGATTCTGACAAGTTACAGAAGTGTAGTGTTTAGGATTTAGTAATGTAAAAGTCAGTTTTAGAAGAACAGTTACACAATTGATTTTGCAGTGGCAAGCAACTATAATTAATTGTTTTTGTGACATTTATTACTGCAGCGGGGTTGATTTAACTGGTGTTTCTACTGTAAAATTATTAAAAAATTATTTCAAACTTCATCTACTTTTATTAAACACATTTATTGTGAAGGTATTTAATACCCGGGGCTGGCTAAACAATTTTAAAACGTGCTGGATATACCAGTACATGTAAAACTGTATTGTCTTGTGTAAATATGGGCCTTGTTTAGAACCACGTCTCACAGGAAATTATGCCAAATGAAAACCATCTCCCCTTCTCCTCTCCCACTGAAAAGGATTTATGTTTTTACATTTAATACCAGTTAAAGAAACAAAAATATGGTGGTGTTTCAAGCCTGAGCAATAGTTCAGCTGTGAAGTCCCATTATGTTCAAATCTCTGTTTTGTTATTAGAAACACAGCCTAACTCAAATGCTTCAATTTGGTAGAGGGAGAAGTGAACAACTCAATTCTTTCTGGAAGCCGGGCACTGCATGTCTTGTTTACCTAGAACAGTTTTCAAATAACTACGAGCAAGGCTTTAAAACCAAAGCCATGAAATTGGTTCCTAAATGTGTGTACATAATCTCCAGCCAACCATTTTAATTCCTCAACCCTCTCTAAGCAGCACCACTAACACAAAACACAACCAGAAATAGCTATAATGCATGATAGGAAAGCTATATTATGTATTTTTCCCCCTAGACCCAACATGAAGTCTCTAACTTCAAAAGGTACCTGAGATAACAACCTTTAACCTGTCCTTGGATATCTTCTAATTTCAAAGATCCAAAGAGCTTCAGTCAAGGTACTTTTAGGGTCCCCCCTCTCTGTCCAACCATTCCCTTCCATGCAGCAGCTCTGGTCTCATCTACCCTGAAAATCTCTGCTGTTCCAGCAAGTGTGACAGCCATTGGGGACAGATGCACAAAGTGCTGGAATGGAAGGAGCCAGAAATCCCAATTCTTATGGTTGTGGAAGACTTGGATGTTTTGGGGTGTTTTTTAAGGAAATGAGGAAAAATAAAGAAGAACACACTTGTGATGGGATATCATTAACTCTTAGGAAAAGTTCTCTGGCTCCACTTTTCCCTCCAGCATGATCTAATCTGAGGGCCCACAGGGTCAGTATCAAAATAAGAAAACAGAGACTGCCAGCTCAACTCTTAAAAATCTTGTCATCCATCATTATCAGGATTAAGAGCAGTTGCATACATAGGATGAAATTTATCACTGGAATTACTGACTTTGGCAACTGCCCTGCACCTCCAGGAAGAGATCCTTCATTGCTTCCACTAAGCACACTTCGGAGAAGCTTTAAGCATTAGAGAGTCCTTCAAAAAAGCCATCTGAAGGGGATTAAAGAATCACAAACTACTTCTTCAAAAGCTGCAGAAAGCTTCAACACCTCCTCATGCTTCCCTCTGCCATGTAAGGGAAGTCATAACTCACCTTTTCAGCCAGTTGATACCTGAACAAAATTTTCATTCAGAATGCTGCTTTACAAGTGTATTTATCAGTGTCAGAGTCAAGATGATGCATCATTTCTGAGTTTATTTTCCTCTTTATGGGTCTATTTTGCTGGCTGTCTCTGGCTAAATATTTTCATTTAACATAACCCTCCCTTCTTAAACAACAGTGTTGAAGGGCTTAGGAAGCCTCTCTCTCCTCCTTTCCAAATTTTTACTGAAATGAATTTTTACAAATGCTTCAGAAGGCAAATTCAAATAGGATGCTCATTACCTTTCTACTTCAACTATATCTGAGACTAAATAATTTAAGATTATTGCATCCAAATAAACCTTCAGAAGAAAATCACAGGATTTTCTTAGACTGCCCCAGAGCAAGTCCCTGTTGTGCCATCTCTCCTGACAGCCAAGCACAGAGCAGGAGCAATGCCCAGATGCTGATGAAGAGGAGGAGCCCAGCAGTGGATTTCCATGAGCTCCCACACGCTCCATCAGACAGGCTTTGCTCCCCATCACTGTGTTCCTGCCTATGTACTATAACACTGGGCTCAAAGAAAGCATCTGGGGCTCTGTCACAGGAAGAACTACAAAAACTGAAGGACACTGAGGCCCTGCTGTTGGAAGTGAGAGATAATCAGGACAGATCTCTCCTGCATGTGTAAAACATATTGTTTTTCTTGTGGCAACCACACAATTCCCAGTGCAATTAGGAGCCAGAGAAAGACTCAAAAAGGGGAACATGATGGAGTGCAGGAGAAGCAAGGAAGGAAAAATGTAAAGAGAAGGAGAATACTTAGCATAAAAACTACTGATCTCAAATTTACCACATCATTTCACGGATGCAACAGAAGTCCTAAAATTTAACTTCTACCAAAATACAGCAGCTAAGGAGGAAAGCCTGTGGACATACAGAGTCACAAGAGAACCAGACTTCAACAGCAATATCAATGCAGGGGATGGAGGGAAGGATGAAAGCAAAGAAGGGCTTTCAATAACAGATAAGAACTGCCACAGACAATCAGGTCTTTTTAAGTGGCTGGTAGTAACAAGGCTTTGATTTGCTGAGACACAAAGAGCACAGAAAATAGGGCATTTGGCCCACACAATTGCTGGATGCCTCCTGACACATTATAATCCATCAGCAGACAGCTTTGCCTGACACCTTTCAGCTGCCCACTTAGCAGCACCGCCTCCAAACCTGCAGAGACAACTCAGGGTTTGCCTCCAACAAACTCTCAATAATAAAGCCAGTATTACCATCCTGATTTTTAAATATTTACTGCTTGATCATGTAGCACAGTTTGCAGACAAATCTCCATTCCGTTAAGTCTCTGATATTTTTTTTTTTCCTCTTCATACTGTAAGTATTTTAATGAATGTATGATTTAGTATTCGGCAAGCCCATGCTACAGAAAGACTATTCTGGAATAAATGGTATAATTACATTTCCTACAGTGACCTTGTAATCTCACGAGTATTTATTCTAGACTAAACAGCCTTACTCAGCTGCCCTGTGTCTGATTGTCGATGAAAGAAGCTTGTTTGACAACTGCTTCGAGCAGAAACATATTTTTTCCATGATTGCATGAAAAAGTAAAAAAACATTACCAGACCGGTATTCTGAGCACAGAGACTCATGTTAGATCGATGAGTTAATTTTGAAGCCAAAGGCCAACAAAAACAATCACCATGGACATTCTGCTGTCAGGGCCAGCTTTTGAGGTTAATTTAGTGGTAAACACGCAGCTACAGCCAGCTTTACATGTAAGAAACTGCGTGGTATATGCAGGTTTCCTTCTTTGTTTCTTTATATATTTTCCATATTCTCTGCTTTTATAACCCTCCTGAGACCTTTTACAGTTACAGAACCCACACTGTACCCACAGGTGGGCGGACAGGAAACAAAACTCTCCATTTCATAAGCAGTCCACTTTTAATATATTCAATTGCTAATGACCTTGACAGAAGAGCTCCATGCAAAACACCATATTCTACAGGGTGTCGTTTGAAATGTTCATAGACTTTTTTGCCAGAAAGCTGATTCCTTAAACAGTAAGATTTCAGACTTACTAAAGGCTGCACTCCTTGATTTCCATTCAGCTGGAAAAATTAGTGCTAATCTACCTCCCCTATATTAAATTTGTGTCCTTCCAAAAATCCTAAAATGAAGGCTGTAGGATTTCTGTGGAACACTAAAGCAATACCAGACAGTTTCTATACCAGGTCAAGATGGTTTACAGGCAGTTCTGTTGTCTGCCCTGAAAGAGACAGCACACTTGGCCATATTCATGATTCAAAAAAAAGGGCACCCACACAGTACTTGTTTTGCCATTCATGGGTTTTTATTCAATTATTCATAATAAAATGAACAAAAAATAAAAGGCTGTATGGAAACTGTAGCTGAGTCTTTAAAGCAAAAATCACTCCTTACCTGCCAATTCTCATTCATTAGGTACCCAATGCAAAACACTTTGCAGAAGACAGAAATCTCTCTCTGCTGAGGATCAGGCCCTGCAACAGGAGACTCTGGGAAATTCAGACCATATGCCTTGGTAGCCAAGAGAATTCCTGCAAGGAGTGCAGCCCTCTATGTTCCCTCCAAAGCAAGACAAGCTTCCCTTGCTCTTACTCAATCTTTAGACTCTGACTACTGAGCTTATTGAGAGACTAGATTCCATTAAAAGGAGTAGAATGAATTCAGTGTTCAAAACCAATGGGCCAAAGCAGATCAAATCAGCCCTTCATTTGTGGCTTTTCTCCTTTTCCAAGATTCAAGAAATATCTGCATACCCCAGTGACAGAGCAGATGTGAAAAATCACCTGCTATGGACTTTTAAAGCCCAGCAGTTCTGTCATCCATTCAAAATCAATTCTCAGTTATTTCACTGCCTCGAACCCTACACAGACACTGACAGGGTTCTAGCAGAAGCTAATCCAGCCAAAGACCAGCTCAGCTATGCTGTAAGAATAGTTTGGAGACCATCCTGACTATTGCCTCACTTAAAAAAAAAAAAAAAAAAAAAATCACAATGACTGACAGCAAAGAAGTTACACGAGTCATTTCTAGATTAAGTGCCAGAACTCTACATGTGTTTCAAATTACACTACAACACTGTACAACAAAGAAATATGCAGAAATTTTCCACTTGAAGTGAAGGTTAAAAATTAAACACTAACAAAGCTCTAACAGATATGAAACCCAACCTCATCTTAATGCGAAATTTAAAATGCCTGAGCTGTCCTACACTAGGAAAAAAGGAATGAATCAATCCAGTTGTTCAAAAGAAAAAGCACAGTGGGCTAAAACCGTTCATTGTAGGTACAGATTTTCACAGCACTACCACTCTGCTTCAGTACTTACCCCCTCAACTCTTAAAATGGCATTCTGTTTAGATTTAACTTTTAATTTATCTAAGTATATTACCTGTCCTCATTAGATTAGTGTTCACTATTGAACTTTTTCTGCATCTTGTTTAAACAAAACATTAACCAGGGTGCTCCTAACAATGCGATTATACATGAAAACAAGTTGATAGATCAAAGACAAGTCATATTTTTCCCTAAAGAAAATATTTTTGGAGCAAACCTGATTTTTTTATATACACCCATATATATATTCAGCTTGGATCTTTCCAAAGCTAAGTAGGCAAACGCAATTTTATTTTAAGCAGACCAGGCTTGACTTGATTACAAGGTCTGCTGCAAAGAGAAATTTTTAACCTGACTTGTAAATTACCTCAATTTATGAGAATGGTGAGGATATGACTGGCACTGTGTTGAGTATGATTTACTTTGGATTACTAGAGACTGCTTCTAAACCTTGAGTCATGAAGTTTATATATCTTTACCCAAAATGCTAATTACATAAGCAGATTTTCAATTTATAGTCAATTTTTAAGTAGCTTGTGTATGGCTCTTCCCAGCTGTAAAACTTGGTGGTTGCTGTGTGGCCACTCCTGTAAAACAGACTTACAATTACTGTCAGGAATGTCTTTACATTCTTCAGGACCTCCAAAAAAACATCATTTGGATCCTCGGGGGCTTTTTTGTTTTGTTTTTCCTTTAAAATCAAAACTACAAAATGTATCAAACATACATTTTTAAAGCAACACAACTACTTTCCATCCCCATCCTGTGTTATTCTTTCGCTACTTGGAACGTCAGTTTGTTATATTTTTCATTTCTTTTGTTTTCCAGTAAGAAAAACGCAGACCTCCAACCACACAAATTCAGCATATTCAGCTAAAACATGAGGAAGAAAAAAAAAATTAAGAGACAAGCCTTTTTTGCCCATTTAAGAAAACCTCCAAGTACTGGCAGCAAGTGCCCAAGCACCCAGGTGCTCCTCGTGCTCTCTTGCAGCCACACATCTCCCCAAAAAGCAATTTAACAGATTTGCACTAATTTGAACCAAAAGGTGACACTCCCCACTTCAGTCCAAACTAATAGTTTGTGGTGACAGCAGAAGTGGCGGTAGAGCCCTTGATAAGGCAGGGATCTCTCTCCAAACAATCAGCTTTGTGCCCCCAGCCCCGTGCACAAACCAACCATTTCCCAGTGCACGTCCCTGAACACTTCAGTAATTCAGAGCAGTGACAAAGCCACACAGACCCAGGGCTGTAAGTCATCGTGGAGGGACAGGCAGCTGCAGAAGCCACCCCCAGGATGGGCATGTTCCAGTGATCCAAGACCCCATTTTCCTGCAAGGGCAGCACCACATGTTTGGGAGATGCTCTCACACATCCTCTCCCCTTTTCCAAGTCACGTTTTCATCTGACAGCTGAGACAGGCGTGAGCTGGTCCTCGAGTCTGAACAACCAAAGTGACCTTCATGGGGGACTGAAGGACACAAATCCCTACACATTATACCAATCATTTGTGTTGGGGGGGGAAAAGAAATCCTAAATCTTCATTATTCTCAGATTTCCAACACCCTAACAAAAGATGCACAAGGATGTTAATGCTTTTCTGCTGTACTTAAGAAAAAAAAAGAAAATTTACATCCCCAGGGGAAATGGAAAACAAATTTGTAAGTACAATTTAAACATAAATTTACTCATTTGCAAAATATGCAAATAAGAAGAGCAGTGGAAAAATGCAAAATTAAGTTTATGGTCTGCTCATTACATTTTTTGAAAAGTCTAATAAGCAAATAATACAAGTCATCTTAAAAAGCATTTTTTAAAAATTATAAAAGATTCCTTACAAATGTTCTACATGACCCCATAAGTATTCACCCTTTTTCTTGCTCTTCGCTAAAACCTTCTTGCCAGCTGTGTCCTTCATTACAGCAACTCACTAAGAAAAAAATGCTGAAACATAAAGCAGGTATTGCAGAAGGTTAGAGATAAGGAAATATTCAAAAAACTCATTGTATTGAGTGTTTTGAAGATTAAAAAAAGCATATCTTTAAGAAAAAAAGTCAGTAAATTATGCTACCTTAAGTGAATTCAAAGTCACGAGGTTGACAATTGTCTTTGCAATAGTTCTGGCTCCAGAAACTCAGATAACAGCCTGGACATTGAGGGAACTATTTAGCAGCAATAAATGTCAGGCTACAAAGTTTTTAACAGGAAAATGAAAATAAGGAGAAACTAAAATTGAAAAAAAAATAGAAACAACAAAATACATTCAGAATCATAGAATGGTTTGGAAAGGACCTTAAGGACCATGTAGTTCCAACCCCCCTGCTATGGGTAGGGATACCACCCACTAGGCCAGGTGGCTCAAAACCCCATCCAGCAAGGCCTTTTATGAGTGCAAATGAACAGGAAACTAAAAGTCTTTATCTGGAGAGGTTTACATTGTGCCCAGCTCTTCTGCCTCAGCCAGGCAGCTGTGTGCAGCTGCCTGCCCAGCCCAGAGCAGGGACAGAAGCGCGTTAGTTAAGCATTCATCATCAACAGGAAATGCGCATGAGTTCATATAAACACAGAAACACAAATATATAAACCAACAGCCCTGCACGGTTTAAGGTATTTCAGACACCCCATGGAATAGGGTTAGAGCTGTGCTGGCTGGGAAGCCACAGCATTGATGTATTTGTTTTGGAATGGCAAACAGCCTCGGGACTCAGAGGAACTCTTCTGGTGGGCACCACCAAGCCAGCCAGGCAGCCGTGAGCCACCCCGCAGCCCTCGGCTCCTCCAGCACCTCCGGAGCCAAGCCCAACAAGCCTGGCTGCTCCTGCTCACAGGAGGAAAATGGCACATTTCAAACATCTCCAAGGAAAGACTGTGGCATTGTTAGCAAACCCTACTCTGAATACGCTCCCACACAGACTCAACTGCAGGTTTTAAAAGGTTTTGCTCTGCAAAGCGTTGGGCTACCTCAGAACTGGTGCACTAAATGCGATGGACATAGATGGCTGATCCTGATGGATTTGGACACCAGCATTCATGGGGCACAGGCAAAGGGAATCCTCCTTGCACAAGCCATCTTTTTCTTGTTTGTGATGAGGCTGAGGGGGCCTCCAAGCCCCTCTCACACTGGAGGTCCCTCACAGCTGTGCTCCATCCAAACAGGTGGCCAAGGCCGAACCAGGCTCTGCCCAAGTTTAAACTCCTAATTAATACTTGGTCGCAGAAGCTTGATACCAGATAATAAAAATTACAGGCATCAGGACACAGAAACAATAAAAATGGAGACAGCCTCACTTCCAGACAGCTTTCACTGTCAGTTCTCACTTCAGTGAGAAGGACTTTTCTGAAGGACCATTAGGTTGCTTATTTACCTTATTAAGTCTATCTACCTCTGTCATTTCCTGGATGAGATACAACATCTCCCATGCCAGTGAACTAGATGGGATTCCTGTTTGGATTTCAGTGGTCTCCCAAATTGCACACTAAATTGCCTCTACTTTGTTCAGTACTTTGTGGCCTCAGTTTTCCCAGATTGCACAGCCAAACGTAAACTGTTATTTTTTAAAACTCTTTCTTGCCTTGCCAGCCTGCACATTTGTTCTGCCATGCAGTTTTCCAGACACTGGAAGTGCTGATGACCTTGAGGGTCAAGCCATGATGAGCTAGGTGACACTCCCCCAGTAGCTACCATTTTCAGGTGGCATTTCAGCTACAAACACATCTTCAGAGAGCAGATACATCATTCCTGGACTCCCTAACCTCCCTTACCCAGACATAAAAGGCTCCCAAACTCCCTTTCAAACATGGATGCACACCACAATGCTGCCAAGCTGCTGGACCAACCCCACATTATATTTTTTGACAAAGTTAAGCTCTGTGCTTCATTTCTCACAAACACGGTTTGACTGTAGACAGCAGCCGACAAGTAAATCTACCCTTTTCCATGGCAAACAGCCCAACTTTAATATTTTTACTGGCTTACAGCTGGGTAAATTAAGCCCCAGATTTTTATTTATTTATTTTTTAATACCGTGCAACTGAAAATGAACAGCTACTTCACTATGACTGCCAAGGACAACCTTAAAAACACTAATGCAATCCAGTCCAGCTCTCAATAGATCTATAAAGGCAAGAGGACCAAAAATTTCAGCTTATCCACCCAAACAAAATGTTGGTTGGGCAGGAAGTCTGATATTCCGTTAAGATCCCTAAAAAAAAGGAAAGAAGAAAAAGATCCCTGGCAATCTGAAGATGGTAACAATCCCAGCTATAATGACAGAAATGGGAATTAAAATGTACTGATTTACTTACCCCAGCTTTCCCAACATTTCAGGATCTGGAGCTTCTGGTCCATATGTCTCCACTTGCAGAGGCTGATATTCATACAAAGTTTCCTCTAACTTTTGAATGGGAGCTAATGAAATTTGCTGACCCTGTTAAAAAAAAAAAAAAAAAAAAAAAAAAGTAAAATATTCCTACATATAATCAAGGTCAAGGTTTTGCTTTGACTTTTTTTATATGCAATATAAGAACAAGCATTAACTGGGTCCAGATAAACACCATCCTACTAAGAGCATACTGTTCACTATATCACCCATTTGTGATATACATTTTTTCTACTGGGACCTACAGATTGGAAGTGATGTTTCATCATCTATAATTGTTTGGACAAGAAGGAAGGGGGGAAGAAGCTTTATTCAGGGCAAGCTTACCATTAGAAAGTACAGCGGCTTCCAGCGTCACTAGGAAAATTATTATTAGGCACTAATTTCATTTATCTGAAGTACTATCAAACAAATGCCTCTGAACAACTCTACTTGATTCTCTAATCAATGATTTCCTGAAAGCCCTAATTAGAAAGGGAAGCCACTTTCCTTTCTCTCCACAGGCTTTGTAAGCTCCCATACATAATGGCTCTCAAGATAGACTTTTACAGAGCAATACAATTAATTCATTCAGCAAATTCCCATTTGTTTCGTAACTAAAAATATAGAAACACGCAAACATTAAGCTTTCACTCAAGACAGTACTTTTGCAAGACCTTCAGACTGCTGAGAAACAGCAAGGCATTTCCAGACCCCTCCCCTCCAAGTCCCTATCACTCGGGGCTCTCACAAAACAGGAGACTTGTAGCTGGGAAGGAGGGGGTCAGGAGGATGTGAGATAGAGCCAAAGTTAACAGATGTTGCTGCGTGACATTCTACACTGATTTGTTGATCTTTCACACAGTTTCAATTTTCTACTGTATTCTATGGTGCTCACGAAAATTAGCAGCAGCAGCAAAAAGACAGAGCACTGTGAGCTGCCCCAGAACAGCCTGGCTTTCCCTGAAAAAATTGAGTCTCCCATCTGCAGAATGCAGGAATTTAGCAAAGTAGTAGTATTGTTTTTGTAGACATTTTGTCTGAAACAGGAGATGGGAAGCTTTCCATGGTGTAATGCTGTGTATAAGCCTGGCTCCCACTGGTGATCACTTACTGAGCTGAGCTTCCCTGGGGCCACTCCTTTGAGCATCTACTCCCTCAAGTGGAAAATACAGGCTCCTAATGTGGGACACCGAGTTAAAATTAACTAAGGAGGGGAATGAAAAAGTCTGGAGAAGGGGAAAGCTGTTAATTAAATTTGTGGTTGAAGACAGTGACCTTTCTGAATTTGGAGCAGAGATATTTTTGTTTAGGGAGTTGCAGAAAATAGCTAAGAAAACTGAAGATGTAAGTCCTTGAGAAGCATTATCGTGGATCTAAGCCGATCTCTACGGAAATATCAGCAGCTCAAGTTTTCCAGTGAAACAGCCCCTGTGTGTGTGATGAAAACAAGAGTTTTAGGCTTTTTCTGCAATGCCTGGGGGGCTGGAGAGGCCACTGCTGACATTGCTATGGGGACAGTGTCCTGGAGATGAGAAAAACGTTCTCTAGTCAGCCACGCACCACTCCAACTCTCATGGCCAGCACATTTATTTCTGTACTACAAACTATTGCTGCAACATTTTTAAAAAGTAGGAAAAGAAAGGTTAAAAATTTAGCTTTAATCCCACTTCATGATATTTTAGGACATAAAAGCAGGGGGTTTTATTTTCCTAGAAGTTGTCAATTTACAATGTATCCAAGTTTATTAAAATACAGGACTTGTAGCTATATTTATGTGGGCCTCTTACACCCATTGTAAGAGGGTAATGCTTAAATAAGACTCTCATATTTGAATTTTTAGCAACATCTTTGTCTCTAACCAAACCAAATGAAAAGTCATACCAATGTTTTACATTTGTCAAACCTCATCTGGTGAGTGAAGAGTCTCGCTCTTTCCAATCCAAATTTTGTTCCAACCATAGAAAAGAAATTTCAGTTTTGGGCAAAGATCAAAACCATGGTAAATACTTTGGGAAATTACTTCTGTGTGGAAAAAAGAAGAATCTCAGATTGCAGGCACCCCATCCCTTGAGGACACCACCAGAACAGCTGCTCACTGTCAGCACATTTGCCACTGATGCCTTCCTGACACTTTGTTAATGAGAGCAATTTCTGCCAGCATTGGCCAAGAGACACAGGAAGGCTCCCAACACATGGACTGGGATCATCACTGCCCTCCTTCCCCACCACCATTTATGCTGCTATAGATGTGCACCTCTGGAAGCTCCTGGGAGGACAGGATGAAAATGTTTCATTTGTTTTCCCCTTTGTGGGGTTCCCAAGGTGCCTGAGGTCACAGGATCACAATGGTCATTATCTCTCAGATGACCAAGCAGGAACTGTAAGGGAATGGTGGGAAGGCTGATTGGTCAGCACCCCAGGGGTATGGGGGGCACAGGGATCATGGGGAAGGACTTCTCTGTGTGGAATTGCATCACCAACTCACTGTGGTGGCCTGGAGAACAGCAGAATGTCAGAACAGGAGCTGCATTATAGAAACTGTCCCCCCTTGAGCTGGTCTGACATCATGCCCAGCACAGGCCGGGACATTTTGTGTTCCTGTATGAAGCCCAAGGACTGGCAGTTCAGCCAAAATACCTTCTTTTGAAAGGCATCCAATCTAGATTTAGACTGATTTCAGATCACAGAGGTACAGGCACATCCCCTAGGTAAGCTGCTGCAATAGTTAATTATCTTCACCATTAAATACTGGCAGCTCATGTCTGGTTCATCAGATTGACTCTCTCCTATGTCTTTCTCACCTCCCTCACGGGGCAAGGTACCAGTATTAGGAACCAGGATGGCATTTGCATGGCAAAATGACTGCACTGGTTTGTGTGCAGCCAGCAGATCTGCACCTCAAGGATGTATGATATGCAGCTGTATGAGACAGCTCATTTGTTTTTGTTTCCCAAAACCACAACTTTAGCTGATGTGCTTTGGCAATGTGGAGTACATTCCACTTAGCAGTGGGTAAAAAGCCCCATGATCAGCTGCTGTCCCTGCCCTTTGGTTGTCTGTCCTTCAGGCTACTGAGCTTACAGACTTTCAAGCCCTACACAGGTTAGTGAGGTCCCAGAACTGGGTATGGCCAGAAGGCATAGGTGCAAAAGGCTAGGATGAAAACCAAAACCATTGCCTTTCCTGTTTCCACTGCTGTTGGGATAAGCTGACTCACAAAAAAACCTTGTTGAAGTTAAAAGGCCAATTTGACCACTATTATCTCAGTTAAGAGCCATTTGACCAGAAGCATCCCACTTTTGTCTCTCTGTCCCAAGTGATCCCTAACCACTTCATAACAGACTGGTAATAAAAGGGAAGCTGCTGTGTAACTTTAGAGACACCACAACAGACAATAACTGTTACTTTGGACTTACACAGCACTTTTACAGATCCAAAACCCATTTCTAAGCTATGAGATAAGACTTTTAAATTTCCTGTATTCCACCTAGACAGTCAGCTTTACCTCTTTCCAGCATTAGGAGGCATTTATCAGCATGCTGAAACCAAAATGAAAGCAGTGGGACCAAGGTCCTGCTTCTGCATTGCTTTCTCCTGACAAACCTAAAATCTGATGTGGTCATGGGTAAGTATTTCTAATTCCCCTTGGATGCTGTAATGTTTGTGTAAAAGAAGCTGACAGCATCCAAATGAAGACAGAAAAGGCTTCCAAGAACACAGACAACACTTTTTCCTGCCTCCTCTCCCTCCCACCCCAATCTTCAGAGCATACAAGTGTTTTCCCTGGGATTATTTTAGGCACCAGAGCTGTCTATTACATACTGGAATGTATGGAACCACAAAACATGCTGCTAATTAGAAGGAAGGCATTTGCTTATCCTTAGGACTTTGTTTATATAAAAGCCTGCACAGCAATGGATTTGTGAGCAACTGACATTCTATTCATGTGCTGTATGGGTTCAGATGAGAGACATACAGAATTAAATTGGGAGTGGGGTTGAATAAAGTCTTTGTATTAGAAATAAAACCGACTGTCTGATAGACTGTTTGAGACAATTATCAGCCGAAAAAGAAACAAAAGCAGTGCCCAGTTTTGGTTTCAGATTGTGATACAACATGGCATTAATAAAAGAAAAGCCATGGATTACATACAAAGAATTGCCCCTGCAGTAACAAGGAGCTTACTTTAAACAAAAACAACACTCTTTCAGGAACAATCATGGCTATTAGAGCATCAAAATTACAGTGTATCACTGCACCTTTCACACAGGTTTGGGGCGGGACTCTTGGCAGATGCCAGGTACATCAGTTTCGCCTGCTAGCAGAATGAGGTTATTTTAGCACAGAGGACAGAAATATCAGCCCAAGTTGCAGCGTTCACACTTCTTCCTGTCCTTTCCTCTCTCCCTGTCCGTGTTTCCAAACCGACACTGCCTTCCTCCACCTCCTTCCCTCGGCAGCAAAAAGGGACAACTGACAGCATTCCCAGAAATCTTTCAAGAGCAAAGGAGGAGGAGAAAGGAGACTCACACCAAAAATGCACTAGTAGGGGAAAGAGGAGGAACAGCTATGCCACAAAAACATCTCCAGGCAAGAGACAGAAGCCAGAGACTGGGGTCAGTAAAACTTGTCCAGACAAGGCAAGTTTCTGTACTAGTAGCAGCTGGACTCGTTGTTGGAGCCAATCTTTTTGCCTTTTAAATTTCTCTCTGCTGAGGAACTTAGCTCTGCTATCAGCCCACTTCCACTGCACACGTCAGAGAACAGAAATAGCGACATTCGCGCTACCTCACATTAAGTCCGTTTGCAGCAATGTTATTTTTATTTAACCCTTTTCACTGTCAGGTCACTCTCCTGAGCCTGGCCAAAGGAGACAAGGAGGAACCGAGGGCTGTGGAAGGGCAGGACATGATGCTGCTGAAACACATCCCCAGCACCGCTTCCATTGCACATGGCAGGACAGAGAGGCTGACAAAGACCCTTTTAAACACACCATCATCTGAGCATGTAATTATCCAAATGCTTTCAAGCAAACATTAAAACAAAACTATAAATTCCATGAATTT